AAAGTTATCATGCAAGTACATTACAAAAACGAGTATTATATTGATAATGTAATAATTAAAAAGTGTAAACATCCAATATGGATCCTGTGGAGTATAGAAAAATGTTTAATCACATCCTCGATAAAAAAAAATACCCAAAGGACACTAATTTAATGAGGCAGAAATAAGAATAATAAGAAAAATCACTCAGAAAAATTTTATAGATCAATCATTTATTTATGACTATTGCAATTAAACTAATGCATGTTACTTCATATCAGAATTTGTAGAAAATGAAATAGAATTGTTTAAAATATGTATCACAGTTGTTAATCTTAGCTGTGCATTTGTTTTTTAATCATATTATCTACGTACAATATATATGCGGACTTGATTTGAATTTCTAAAAGATTTACCTTATTTTGAATGTTCTGGTGTTGTTTAAAGGAAAATTAGCTGTCAAATTCATGTGCACCGATTTTACTCAAATTCTCTTATTTGATTTATAACATACTAAAACGTATATCCAAATTACAATAAGTCTGAAATAAACAATTAACTATGCATAGACTCGATAATATATATCTACATTTCGTGTGTATTTTAGTCTAGACGCCATCTAATTAACCATCGAGATTACCTCAGAAGACTGCCGACGGTCACATAACCCGATATAAACATAAATATGAAACATAAATATAAATAGATTGCGACGACGTGCAATTGGATTTTTCTAAGTCTGTTTGATTTAAAAGTTTGAGGTTAAAAAATAAGTTAATCGTCGTTTTAATCTGTATTAGAATTATTTTTTGTGGATCGAATCAGTCAACGAAATGGTTCACCTATGTTTCACTTTCAATGTTGACATTCTTTTCCTTTTAATGGCTGAACACGCCTAACCAATCTCTAGCTAAGGGGTTTAATTGAAGGTCACATGAATACGGATTCAATGAGGTCGAATTATTTACTTGCAAGTGAATAATTCACCGGCGATGTTTCTTAGCTTATATTGACAAAATTAAACTAAACTGCCTGCTAAAAGCGAATTATTATTTCACTATCTCACTTTCATTAATGATTAAAAACAAAATCATATTTTTTTTTATATCTCGTACCTAATGCCCCTTTAAAGACTTCAATGATGAGTATTAAATTTGTAAGGTACAACTATAGAATGTTTTGCTTGATATAAAGTTAATGCATCATGTTAATATATCACACCCGGAACTAATTTAACATTTAGTAAAAAAATTAGTTCCGGAACAAATTTTACAGTGTTGGAACATATTTCCTTATAATATATATTCCGGGTATAAACTTTGTGATATAAATTTCAGGGGAACATATTTCCTCTGAAAAAAGATTGATAGTTGATTTTTATATATAGAGATGTAAACGAACACATTTTTCGACAAAGTTCCCATTAGACTTGCATCTTCCAAAAGGGTCAGCAGTTCAGTAATGGTGGAACGTATTTCTATATATAGAGAAGGGTCCTCACTAACGACGTTTCTGATTGACGGTCTTCGGGTCCTAAATAACGACGTTTCTGACTTACGGTATAAGTGTCCTCACTAACGACGTCTGAATTTGACCTTTTGTTTCTTTATATATATATATATCACATGAGCCGAGGCTCCGTGTTGAAGACCGTACTTTGACCTATAATGGTTTACTTTTATAAATTGTGACTTGGATGGAGAGTTGTCTCATTGGCACTCATACCACATCTTCTTATATCTATTGTAAGCGTTGTCAGTTTGTTTTCGATCTATGAGTTTGACTGTCCCTCTGGTGTCTTCCGTCCCTCTTTTATGTGACAATTTGGATGTAAAGTGTTTTCATTTACTTGATAACTGATATTTTTTGTCAGCTATTGTCTATTGTCATTAAATTTCTAAACTTTTCAATTCTAACTATCGCCAAGCTATATATATGTCAAAGGCAACAAACATCACTATGGCATCCGTTTTTTTTGTGTTTTTTTTGCATTTGCATTTGATCAAACTTTTATTTATACCATTGAATTTCCTTTAATTAAGGTAGCCAACTTGGGTTGTTAACTTATTTTCTTCTCATTTTTAAGAAGAATGATTTTGTAATTTAATTGAAAAGTTTTATATAAATTACAAATTTATTTTGTTCTTTAAAAATTTCAAAAGAAATATAGTTGTCATAACATTGAAAATAATTGAAGTATAATGCTTCATATATTTGTATACATCTGTTAATTAGATAAAATACATGTAATAGTTTACATTGTCCCTAGGCTGTTTTACACACATATTAATCAGACTAATTGCCATTTGTTTTTACAGCTGATAATTCTATTTCTATAAACTTATTGTGTATACTAATTTGACAAAATTAATGTGTGCAAGGATTTAAAACATTTTTACCTTCATGTAAGTCACAAAGTCAAACTTCCAGATATTTTAGAAGTACATTGATGGCAATTTGCTCTAAAAGTTTCATTAGGATTTGTTGGTTTCTCATTAATATATGTGAATTAAATATTATTTTACAATTAATATTAACATAATTTCTTATGATTAACATCAAAAATAACATGCACATGTAATTGAAAAGTAATTCAGCATTACATGCTTTTTTCAATGTAATTAATTAAATTACCCTTACATGTAATTTAAAAAATGCTCAATTACACATTACATTCAATTACATGGAAAATTGTAATGCATTACACTAAAAATTACAATTACATTTTCAATTACCCCATCCCTGCTAACGACGTTTCTGACTTACGGTAATTGAGTCCTCACTAACGACGCTTCTGACTTACGGTTTTAGGGTCCTCTATAATGCATCATGTTTATCTATAACACCCGGAACTAATTTAACATTTAGTAAAAAAAAATAGTTCCGGAACAAATTTTACAGTGCTGGAACATATTTCCTTATAATAAATATTCCGGGTAGAAATTTTGTGATATAAATTCCAGGGGAACATATTTCCTCTGAAAAAAAGATCCGGCGGAACAAATTTCAAGCCGGAACAAATGTTTTGTTACATAAGCAGTTCAGTAAAACGGATTGATAGTTGATTTTTATATATAGAGATGTAAAGGAACACATTTTTCGACAAAGTTCCACACAGACTCGGATTCTCCAAAAGGGTCAGCAGTTCAGTAATGGTGGAACGTATTTCTATATATAGAGCCGAGGGTCCTCACTAACGACGTTTCTGATTGACGGTACAGTGTATTCTTACGGCATTCGGCCGGGTCCTCAATAACGACGTTTCTGACTTACGGTATAAGGGTCCTCACTAACGACGCTTCTGACTTATGGTATTATATATATAGGGTCCTGTAATACTGTAAGTCAGAAACGTCGTTAGTGAGGACCTAATACCGTAAGTCAGAAACGTCGTTAGTGAGGACCTAATACCGTAAGTCAGAAACGTCGTTAGTTTGGACCCTAATACCATAAGTCAGTAACGTCGTTAGTGAGGAACCTAATATCGTAAGTCAGAAACGTTGTTAATGGGGACCCTAATATCGTTATTCAGAAACGTCGTTAGTGAGGACCCTTTTATCGTAAGTCAGAACGTCGTTAGTGAGGACCCTAATACCGTAAGTCAGAAAAGTCGTTATTGAGGACCTGGCCGAATGCCGTAAGTCAGAAACGTCGTTAGTGAGGAACCTAATACCGTAAGTCAGAACGTCGTTAGTGAGGACCCTAGCTAATACCGTAAGTCAGAAACGTCGTTAGTGAGGACCCTAATATCGTAAGTCAGAACGTCGTTAGTGAGGACCCTAATACCGTAAGTCAGAAACGTCGTTAGTGAGGACCCTAATACCGTAAGTCAGAACGTCGTTAGTGAGGACCCTAATATCGTAAGTCAGAACGTCGTTAATGAGGACCCTTATATCGTGAGTCAGAACGTCGTTAGTGAGGACATATAGAATAATGGCATTTTTGTTTTTGATACTGACTTTATCAGCAAGAATATCAAGCGAGCCCGCTAGGGCGAGCTGATATTCGAGGTGATGAAGTCAGTATCAAAAACTAAAATGCCATTATTCTATTTATCGGCAATTTGTCATAACTGTATTTTTTGTTGTTGAGAATATGAAGTAAAATGAAATAGTTAGTCAAACTACTTTTACGCGTACAAAACTTTGGGATAGTTGTTAATCGGTTGTATGAATGAAGTCGCGTGCATTTCATTGATAAATTGACGCGGATGGACTTGAGCACACGACGTTGCTGCACTGATATATGACGACATTGCCTAATATTTTCGAGTCTCAATTAAGTCCTGTCCATAATCTTAAAAATATTAGGCAGCAAGATCAAAGGGAAAATGTACAAATTGCCGATAACCTAATATCGTAAGTCAGAACGTCGTTAGTGAGGACCCTAATACCATAAATCAGAAACGATCACTTCTGAACCCTGATTTTCCCCATACATTACAGTGTTAAATTTTGAAGAAAAAAAAATTTGATTGATAGCGTCGAAAAAACTAAAAAAAAAATCTGACTCAGACAAAAAACCATAACCCCCCCACCCCCCCCCCCCCCCTTTTTTTGAAGTTAAGTGGTTGCTCCCTAAGAATTTTATAAATATAGATTCTCTGTATCTGTACAATACTGGAAATGAACTCAAATATTGCTGAGTAAAACTTATCCAGGAAGTGTGTGTGCGCAACTCATTTAACTAGTCGCGCGAGATAACTGCAGATATTATACCACTGCATTGAGTGTGATACAATATTTCTCCACTCCAGAAAGTTAAATTTTCAAATTGAAAACGCGAGGCTCGTTTTAAACATTCTGGTAGAAAAATTAATAATGGAGAGAGAAAAAATCAACGAGGGATCATTTCTGTGTCGTATGAATTTCAGTCATCATTTTGGTATTTAGATGGATTAAGTGATAGGGGACATAACTGTTCACGTTAGTGTTTTGAACGGCTTTTCTTTTTCAGATTTGACCAACAAAAAAAATATACGATACAACATAGAAGTTTAGAGAGAATAAAGCATGCTTTACCCTAGATGCACACTGCTTCCGTGAGCCAAGTTCTGTTTTCGTTTCAAGTGTGAAGGAAGTGACGTCACTGCAACATACATACACGAGTCCGCCATTGTGGCCAAAAGAAACGATAGATTACCATAAGTTGAAATAAATGATATTTCAACATGCCTAGATCAAGAAGCCGAAGTAGAAGTCGTGCAGACAGCATAACCAGACAAAAACACAGAAGCAAGCACAAGAAGAAGCGCTCAAGGTCTAGTTCAAGATCTCGATCATACAGAAATCATCGCTCCAGATCACGAGATCGAAAACGGAGACACGAACGGTAACTGTTTGGGTTTAAAGCAATTATCTATATGACTGACTTTCATAACACTTAATCAATGACAACAGCAGACGAAGATTTACACATGAAAATAGTCATGATATTCTGAGGCAGAAGAAGTCAACTATATCTATGAAATTTTTTTCCTATGGCTATACCTCGACATTAGTCATTACTCTCCAACTTGACTAAAACGAAATCAACACAAAAATAATATCATCGCTAATGCAAACTAAAGTCTTGGTTTCTTTCAAAGAAACCTTTAAACATGTATCACAAACAAAGGTTCATCATCATGATCATAACCATTTAAGGTTCATCTATACACTTCAACAAAAATGGCTGTGTTTATGTAAATGCTCTTTTGTTCCGACGTTGGAAAGTTCCGGGTTGGAAAGAACTAACTAGCCGGAAAGTTCCGGAGGAACTTATTAACTAGTTACTTTGTTCTTCCTCTGGTTTAAAAGTTCCACCAGAACAAAGTGACTATTTGAAAAGTTCTAACGGAACATATCAACTAGTTAGAAAGTTCCTTTTTGCCAAATTAGTCAAAACTGGAACTAACAAACTAGCCCAAAAGTTCCAACGGAACTTATCAACCAGGCAGAAAGTTCCATTTGGAGAATTGATGCAAAGTAAAAGCACAACATATTTAACAGACCTGCCAACTATCCCGATTTATGGGAGATATCCCCCATGAGAGGTGTACCGTGTTGACCTGAATTTTGAAATTCTTTATTATACAAACTGAACACCTCAAAACAGGCATTCAAATGAGTTAGAAGGGTATTTAAGCACATACATACTCATCCAAACAATATAGAAGTGGATTAAAAGCACTAATGACAATATAAGAGGAGCATTAGGTCCTCTTGCGCTTAAAATCCCCCATGGAGATTTTGAAAAGTTGGCAGGTATGTATTATATTTGAACCTTTCAAAGGGAAACCAAGATACTGATTACAAAAGTCAAATGGAACTTATCAACTAGCCTCAAAGTTCCTCTTTGGCAAATAAGTCAAAACCGGAACTAACAAACTAGCCCAAAAGTTCCAACGGAACTTATCAACCAGTCACAAAGTTCCATTTGAAGAATTGATGCAAAGAACCACATGAGGAGGGGGGTATTCTTCCCTCTCTTGAGGGTACTATGAATACTAAATTTGCATGATAATGCAACTTATTCCGTTTTATGTGAGCTATGAAATACAACTTAAATTTTGCATATTTGTCCCCAAAGAAATCCCTTTCAGTGCGTTGGGTATTCTTGTAAATTAATGATTTGCTCTTATATATACTGATACTCATTCTTCCCCCTCTTTCTACAAAAAGGACAAAATATGGTATATTCGGAACGATGTAACTAGTTGTTCTGTTCCGCCAGAACTATTCAACTAGCTACATTGTTCCGGGACTTTTCAACTAGCTACTTTTTTCCGGAACTTTTCGACTGCACTCGGAATAAAACAACTAGTTGGAAAATTCCATCGGAACGAAATAACTAGTCGAAAAGTTCCGCGGGAACAAAGTAACTGACGGAACATAGTGGCTGTTACATTTACACCATGAAATTTTCTCTGAATGCAGACAAAGCTGTGTAATTCTAATAGTTTTAAATCCTGGCAGCACCTAGATATATACAAGTTGTATTCATTTTGTGTTTTAAAAAGAAAAATACTTTTGTGCATTTTGCTAAACATTTTCTTTCCTTGCCACAGGTGGTGTAAAAATAAACAAAGACATGAGTAATCTTTGAGATGGTCCCCCTCAGGTAATGATTGTATTGTATCATATTGATTGATATGGACAATAGAAATCTACTGACAACAAAGGTGATTTAAATGGTGTAAATGAGTGGACTGTATCAAAGAAAACTCAGGTCTTTGTTTATTTCACCATCTTCTGTGGCAAGGAAAGAAAATTTTTATCAAAATCTATAAAGTGTTTTAACTTTTTATACGACTGCAAAAATTAAAAAATTTTTGGTCGTATATTGGTATGACGTTGGCGTCGTCGTCGTCCGGCGTCGTCGTCGTCGTCGTCTGGCGTCGTCCGGCGTCGTCCGAAGACACATTTGTTTTCGCACTCTAACTTTAGTTTAAGTGAATGGATCTCCATGAAATTTTACCATAAGGTTCAATACCAAGAAAGGAAGGTTGGGATTGATTTTGGGGGTTATGGTACCAACAGTTAAGCAAAAAGGGGCCAAAAATAAGCATTTTTGTAACTTCCAGACAATAACTTGTGTGTAAGTGTATGGATCTCTCTGACATTGTACCACAAGGTTCCATATCACAAAGGAAAGGCTGTAATTGATTTTGGGGGTAATTGCCTCAAAATTTTAGGAATTAGGGGCCAAAAAAGGGGCAAAAAACAAGCATTTTTCTAGTTTCATGACAATAACTTGTGTGTAAGTGTTTGGATATTTCTGAAATTGTACTACAAGGTTCCATATCACAAAGGGAAAGCTGGAATTGAGTTTGGGGGTAATTGCCCGAAACATTTAGGAATTGGGGGCCAAAAAGGGGCCAAAAATAAGCATTTTTCTAGTTTCCAGACAATAACTTGTGTTCAAGTGTATGGATCTCTCTGAAATTGTACTGCAAGGTACCATACCACAAAGGGAAGGCTGGGATTGAGTTTGGGGGTGATGAATCATAAGGGGGTTCAAAAAATTTGGGGGGGGAATTTTTTTTTTTCTTTTTTTTTCTTTTTTTCCTTTTTTTTTTCTTTTAAAATTTTTCATTTTAAGTTGGTTATTTCTGATTAATATTTAAAAGCAAATAATAATGATATGGTAGGAGATACACACCAAACAGGATGTGTAAATTATTATCTAATAAGTATTGTGCAATAGCAAGAAATTTTCAATTGCACAGTATTGCACAATAGCAAGAAATCTTCAATTGCACAGTATTGCGCAATAGCAAGAAATCTTCAATTGCACAGTATTGCGCAATAGCAAGAAATATCCAATAGCACAATATTGCGCAATAGCAAGAAATTGTCAATTGTACAGTATTGCGCAATAGCAAGAAATATTCAATTGCACAGTATTGTGCAAAAGAAGATACTTCGTATAAATTGCTTATTTCTTGATCAATTTCAATGGGGTTTTATTCTTGAATTCTTGGGGTTCTTTAATATGCTGAATCTAACCGTGTACTAAGTTTTTGGATTTTGGGCCCTGTTTTTAAATTGGTCCTCATTGAGGTCCAAAGGGTCCAAAATTTAACTTTGTTTGATTTCATCAAAAATTGAATTATTGGGGTTCTTTGATATGCTGAATCTAACCGTGTATTTAGATTCTTAATTTTTGGTTCCGTTTTCAAATTGGTCTACATTAAGGTCCAAAGGGTCAAAAATTAAACTTAGTTTGATTTTAACAAAAATTGAATTTTTAGGGTTCTTTGATATGCTGAATCTAAACATGTATTTAGATTTTTGAATATGGGCCCAGTTTTCAAGTTGGTCCAAATCGGGGTCCAAAATTAAACTTTGTTTGATTTCAACAAAAATTGAATATATGGGGTTCTTTGATATGCTGAATCTAACCATGTATTTAGATTTTTGATTTTTGGGCCCCGTTATCAACTTTGTCCACATTGAGGTCAAAAGGGTCCAAAATTTAACTTTGTTTGATTTCATCAAAAATTGAATTATTGGGGTTCTTTGATATGCCGAATCTAACTGTGTATTTAGATTCTTAATTTTTGGTTCCGTTTTCAAATTGGTCTACATTAAGGTCCAAAGGGTCCAAAATTAAACTTAGTTTGATTTTAACAAAAATTGAATTTTTAGGGTTCTTTGATATGCTGAATCTAAACATGTATTTAGATTTTTGATTATGGGCCCAGTTTTCAAGTTGGTCCAAATCGGGGTCCAAAATTAAACTTTGTTTGATTTCATCAAAAATTGAATTCTTGGGGTTCTTTGATATGCTGAATCTAACCATGTATTTAGATTTTGGATATTGGACCATAATAGGTGAATGTCCAATTTAAAATTTTTAAGTTCTTAGGCCACATTCATTCTGTGTCAGAAACCTATGCTGTGTCAAATATTTAATCACAATCCAAATTCAGAGCTGTATCAAGCTTGAATGTTGTGTCCATACTTGCCCCAACTGTTCAGGGTTCGACCTCTGCGGTCGTATCAAGCTGCGCCCTGCGGAGCATTTTATTAGAACATAAATTGGATGTAACATTAATTTATCTAGGTGCTGCCAGGCATTAAAACTTTTAAAATTACACAGTTTTGTCTGTACTCAGAGAAAATTTCATGGTGTAAATACAGCCATTTTTGTTAAAGTGTATAGATGAACCTTAATCATAATGTAAAATTGTATTTACACCACAAATTTACTGGGGAGTACAGAAAAAAAGCCTGTGCATCTGGAAATTTTTTATCATTATGACATATATCTTAGGAAAAAATTAAAAAAGCCTTTCAGGACATAATTATTTGGACTAGGCTGGACCTAGATAAATCAAATTTAAATACATTTAAAGTTTCAAAATAAAACGTAAGTTTGGGAGCTCCCATCATATAATAAATGCAGTGAAATACAGTCAGAGCTCAGACATAAACAAGTCTTTTTTAGTCCCCTACCGACGAAGTCGAAGGGGACATTAGATTTGCACTCTGTCCATCTGTCTGTCCGTCCGTCTCCATCCGTCAGTCTGGCAAATCAACTTTCCACACTTTTTTTCTTCGTTCTTGAAGATATTGATTTGATATTTGGTATATAGTTTTGCAATGACAAGTTATAGATCAAGTTCGATTTTTGTTCCGGTCTGATGATTTAGTCCAGACTTATGGACCATAACTCTGGACCATATCTAATGTTAGAGTACTATGTTAAACCATATTTCTGTACAAAGGGAGATAACTCATTTTTTAAAGACATTCTTTGGTAAATTATTTGATGAATTTTTTGGCAAGTTTGTTTGTTATCTTGTATAAACTAATGTTCTGAATGCTATAATATATAAAAAAAAT